ATGGCTTTGGGTATATGATAATACGGCCCCCATATACCCCATATTCTATCTACTTAAGGGGGACTATAACCCTAGACCTATAGACCTACCTTATTTTTATAAACCCTAGTCTATAGCTACCGCTTTGCTTCCTTGCCCCTCGGGCCGTTGAGCAGAATGACCTTCTGGCTGTGTATAGGGAAAGAAGAAATGGAAAACAGGGAAACCACTGTATTTTTTTGTTATAGGGTTTAGGGTGTAAGGGTTTAGGGTTGAAGGGTTTAGGGTTTAAGGGTTTAGGGTTATAGGGGGTGTTGTATGGGGCTGCTATGGGGATCCTTTAACCCATTCCCTACTACCAAGCAGTTGGAGTTTTGATGCCAAGGCCGTGGCGAGACACGTAGGGTTTTTAGGTTTTCAGGGGTTCCGGGTTTTAGGGGTACGGTGACATTTTTTTAAATAAGTGGAGGGCGGCCAACCCCAACGTGCCATGGAGGTAGTATAAAAGATCTGTTTAAATCCGGATGTTTTCCTGTTTAGATTCAATTCAGGATGTGTTAATCTTGGACGGCCGGACGCCATGCTTTGCGGAAGTAGTATAATATGACTGTTCGGTTGTTTACGTGTCCGGATGTTTAAAAAGCGTCGCCGTAAGGTTTTTAGGGTTCAGGGTTTAGGGCCTATAACGTGTGGGGTTCCTCGGTTCCATATTAAAGGAGCTACACGTCAAATGTAAGTGGACATGAATTCTGAAGAACAAACGAGATGAGTAGACACGTCCTCAAGCCGTAACCCAAACTGCCAAAACCCTAGGCCCCTAACCCTAAACCGCAAAACCCTAACCCCAAAACCCTAAACCCGAAACCCCCTAACCCAAAAATGTCTAAAGCCTAGACCCCTAACCCGAAAACCCTAAAATCCTAAACACCAAATGGTAGAGGCGGCTCAACTCGATGAGCTAGACATGAACTACATCGAGCAGGCGGGCGGGGTCTGTGTTTAGGTTTTGGGGGTTTAGGGTTGTTAAGGTTTAGGGTTTTAGAGTTTAGGGGTTTAGGGTTGTTAGGGTTCAGGGTTCTAGAGTTTAGGGGTTTAGGGTTGTTAGGGTTTAGGTTTTACCCAACACTAGGGGTAGCACTTTGGGGGTCACAAGAATAGTGATCCAGACCCTCCAAGCATCGTCTCTTTGGGTCAGAGGTCCCCGTAACTAAGGACCTATGACCCGAATCAAGGGTACAGGACGGTCTGGGAGTATAGTCGAGTCCAAATATCCGACTGCAATAGTTACTCCTACATCAGGAAATCTCCCTTCAGAAATGCCATTTTAGGCGAACTCCCATGCCGCCAGCTCCCTGCCCGTTACTCGCCAGGGACCCTCCGACGGAGGCCCTCCGATAAATTCAATCTTTAGCTTTATGCCGCAGAGCATTAAATGAAGTGAGCCCTAAACCCTAGACCCTGAACTCTAAACTCAATATTTTTGTGAGGTCCTATCCAAAAACTCGATGTTCTTCATGGAGGTGTTTCTGCATTTTGCAGATGTGTCGCGCGCTGAGCCTGCCTATGAACGCTGTAGCTTCACCTTGCGTATCCCTAAACTTCAAACCCTAAACCCTAGGTCCTAATCCCGAAGCCCTAAGCCCTAAACTGGACCCTAATCCCTAAACCCTGAACCCTGACTCTAAACCCTAAACCGCTCATTTGTGAGGTCGAACCCTCTGAAGCCGTTCAAGATATGCCACGCGTGGGCATGGCGAGTTCTGGAAGAGTTCTTCAACCAGGTTGGAACCCAGTCTTTTGGGGTTTAGGGTTTAGGTAGGGATTAAGCTTTATGGTTTAGGGGTTCAGGGATTAGGGTGTAGGGGTTTGGGGTTTAAGGTTTAGGGGTTTAGGGTTTAGGTTTAGGGGTTTAAGGTTTAGGGCCCCACTACCTGGTACCCCACTACTCCTCCAGACAAAGAAGGAATATGGCGGCCATAGTAATGGGGTACTAGGTGGTGGTCCAGAATCCAAAGCGTTCCTAGGAACCCTAAACCCCAAACCTTACAAAACCTAAACATCCCTAAACCCTAAACCCTAACCCCCTCACATCTTTACAAAAAGGGACAATACCTAACTGGCGCTCAGGGAGTGAACCCAAATCCTAGGTTTAGGTTTTAGGCGTTTAGGGTTTGGGCTTGGAAGGTTTAGGGTTTAGGCTTTTGGCGGTTCTGGGGTTTGGGGGGACCGCAACATAGACCCCAAAATGCTATGATCCTCATTTTTAGCTTTTAGGGTTTAGGGTTTCGGGGTTAGGGTCCCTGAGGGTGCTGTTGAAGCAGTCTAATGAAAATACCGCCTGAGCCTAGTAACAAGAGAAACAATAGTCGTAATTACGCGTAATGATACTAGCCTTGTAGCATTTCATACAGTAATACATAGTATTTTCAATCATATTAACAAGCACAGAAGTAATTCAAATGCTACTTAGTATAGCTGAAGTATAAGCAGGATCCTACATTAGGCTTACCGCTTACTTCAGGCTGATCCCCAGCAGACCCCAGATAGGACAGACCCTCTAAGAAACCCTGGCTTCCCCTGCTAAGTCTCTCCCAAACCCCTTTTTACAACACCCCCGCCGCGTAGTATTTAGGGTTTAGGGTTAATTAGGTGGATTCTCATTGATGGAGGGGTCAAGCCCTAAACCCTAA